GCTAGGTTGACATATTCTGACTCCAAGAAGGAAGGGTCTGTTCCAGGTCTCTCTCTATGGCCTTATAAGGGCCATCTTCTTCCTGTGTCCACACATGGTCTTCCCTGGGTAGCTGTCTCCTAATCCCCTGTTCCTATAAGTCATAGGATTAGGGCCCACTCTAATGAATCACATCTGTAAAGACCCTACATCTAAGTCTTGTCTCATTCCTAGGTATGAAGGTTAGCATTCCAGGGGGAGGGACATGTGATTTGGTTTCTAACATGAGTTCAGACAGAATCTGTCTTTCAAGACTGGCTGGAGGCATAGTGGCTAGCAGGGCTGATGTCTGAATTGAGGGTCAGTGCCTTGTTATTCTGTTTCCCATTTCCAGGGGGGTTGGTCACAAGCCTGCTTCCCTCTCCTCCCCAAGTTTGTACCCTGGATTGCTTGCTTAGATGTAGCCAGACTTCCTGATAAAGACCCCAATATGAATTACAGAAAGCCCAGTGTGAGGGTCAATGGCCTGCGTGCCCACCCGATAAGAGTTTGGGGGGCCCTTGGGAACCAGAGTAAGAATGTAGAAGGCATTCAAATCACTGCTTCATGCATGGGAAACCAGGGAACAGAACCAGCTTCTTCTAGGCCAGCTGTGCCAGGGCTTTCTAAAGTCCCTGGATAGCCTTGTTTTCACTGAAAGCCAGTCTCAGCAAGAACGTTCTGGCACAGTACAGGCAGGTGTTAGTGCAGGGAGGAGGGGCATTGAGAGGTGTATACAGAGGGTGACATGCCCTGAAACATGAGCCCCTACCCAGCCCAGGGCATCGATGCAGAGCAGTTAGAGGGTGAAAGTCCAAGGGCACAGGCTGCCACTCTGGTTCTTTTGGTTGCATGTGGAGACAAAGCCTCAGGTGACCTCTCTCCTTACCAAGAGCTACCTGTGGTCGAGAGAGGAAAACACTAACCCAGGGTCATCGGCAGGGGGAAGCCAGGCCTGGTCTCCTGTTGCCCATCCAAACCCATTCGAGTTCTCTGAGCTCTCTGTCCCTATCCGATGACCTAGAGCAAGCAAGGACAGCCTAGGTGCTCTGCTTCAACCCAGAGGTTCTGCAGTCTGTGGTGTTTGTGGGAAATCTGATCCCTCTGCATTCTCAGGGCCCTGGGCTTCCTTCTCGGCTCACCTTTCTCTTCGTGGAAAAACTTTGAGTAGCTTGTTTCCCATGACCAGGTGCTGCCTGCTTGGTGCAGATGAACCGGTGACCTGACGGGGAAGGGATTGACTTCCCCCTGGAAAAAAAACATGGCTGGTTTCCAGGGAAATGGGGGTCACCAAGCGGACTTCCTGCGGTAGAGGATGTTCTGACCCAGGCTGTGTTCTCAAAAGAATTAGGGAGGCTGTGTTCATCCCCCTCACCAGAGCCCCCCCACAAAGGAAAGGACTTCTGCTCATCTCTCTTCCTTGGCTCATTCCATCCTGCTGTATGTTTCCTGCTATATGTTTTGTGTGTGTGCATGTATGTGTAAGGGAGGGGAGATGTGTGCTTGTTTCTGTGTAACTAAATGTGTGTATGTGTGTGTCTGTTTTTGCAGGTCCACAACAGCACCATCTACTCTCTTCCAAAGGCCGGGCCCTGAGGTTCTCATAGGCTCAGAGTCTCGGCCTGTGATTGCCAGATTCTCTTTTTCTCATTGGTAGAGGAACTTGCCATAGGTGTTTCGCTATATATCAGTTCTCTCCCCACATCCTGAATTCACCTTTCTCACAAGGGGTGCAATTTAGATCATCCCTAGTCCCCATTTTTGATTTCCAGTGATCAGTCTTTGGGCCCATTTGGCCCCATTAAGAATGAGCGTGAGGGCTAGGAATGTGGTAGAACTTAGTGGTAGAGTGCTAGCCTAGAATGCATGAGACCCTGGGTTTGATTCCTCAGAACCACATAAATGAAAAAAAAAACACAAAAAAACAGAAAATAATGAGCATGAAGTCATGTGCCAGTGGCTTATAACTGTAATCCTAGCTACTCAGGGGACTGAGATCTAAAGATTATGGGTTCAAAGATTATGGTTCAAAGCCAGCCTGGCCAGGAAAGTCTGTGAGATTCTTTACCTCCAATAAACTACTCAGACAAAGTCAGAAGTGGAGCTGTGGCTCAATTGGTAGAGCACTAGCCCTGAACAAAAGAAGCTTAGAGACAGTGCTCAGGCACTGAGTTCAAGCCCCAGGACTGGGGGACGGGGAAGAAGAGTGTGATACAGATCTCTGTCAGGGTTGAATTTGGCTGCAAGTAACGGAGAATCCATATCATATTGGTTGCAACAGATCAGAGCATACCTCTTGAAGAACAAAAACCACAGAAGGGGACTGGGCATCTCCACAGTGCTCCAGGGCCTCCCTATCTCTGCATGATCCCATTTGTCCTGTGACTTACTCTCCCATCTATGGTCTTGCCCTCAGTACAACCACACAAGTTTGACAGAGCGGTTGTAGGAACCAGAGGAGGTGAATGTGCCTGAGATACAGATGTGTTGAGGGCATCTGCAGGAGGCTGGGTGGGTGTGCTCTGCAGCAGACAGAATGCAACCTGATGATGGCCACCCCATCCTGTGGTGTGGTGCCTGAACGGCATTTGGAACACAATGGGGTCTCTTCCTAGAACACTGATTTGCTGGTGTGAAAGCCTGTTGTGCCTCAGTCAGACGAGATGCATGGGTTGGATTCTTTGTAGAATCCTGGGAGAGAGATTTGCAAAGCCAGTAGCAAGCAAAGCCATCAGTTCACTTCTCTAATTAAAGGGGATGGACCCTGAGGAAGAGCCTGCTGTTCTCAGCAGATGTGAGGCTGCCTACCATGCTGATGGCCCTTGGCTCCAGCAGACCTCAGTTGGCACCTGGCCCCTCCCAGCAGTGTGCCAGTCCAGGCAGTTGAGGTCACTAACTCTGCAGGGCCAGATGAGAATAATGCATGGTCCTCCTGCTTCTACCCAGAGCTTGTGCTGGGGTAGCTCCTGCCAAGATAACAGTGACCTGGGCTGAAGGTGGTACCTGGGTGTAACTTGGCTCAGAACCTTTTGTGACTGAGCAACCTTTTATGACCTTCCTTCAGCCAAGTTCGAAGATCCAAAAGTTAGTGGTACATAGCTGTGTTCCATTAGGATCCAGAGGAGAAGGCCTGGGCATGAACTTTCACATTACCAGCAGACTGGCAGAGCAGGCCAAGGGAGGTCAGCTGACAGGAGCTCCTACAGTTCCCATCCACCTTGGGAGCTGGACTGTGGGATCCTGGGCCTTCATTCTCATTCATGTGGCCAAATGAGAGGCGTGTCCAATGTAGTCACCATTCCCATCAGGGGAATGGGCTTGGTAAACCACTGAGAAAAGTCAAAGGACCTCTCCAGCTATCACATCCTCATTGTCACCCTCAGTATGTTCCCACTGGCCACTGATGCTCAGGCTTATCACTAGCTTCAAAAACAACCAACCCTTGGGGGTGAACTTGAATTTAGGCTAGCTAGAAGAAAACAATGCCCTCACAAAAGGCATTTCTCTCTGAGGAGCAAGTCCCATCTCCTCCCTCGGATCCTGCAGCATGAGAGCCAGCAGGGAGGTGACCCTCCAGGTCCCTCCTCTGCATCCTGATGGTCATCCAAGGCTGAGCTCCCACTCCAGTGCTTCCAGAAAGTTCTGCATGTCCAGGATAACTGTGATGAACAATTGACCACTTTTTTTTTGCTTCCTTTTTCCCTTCCTCCTCACTCTAAATCTGGTCTCTGGACCCTAGCTGAGGCTGCTAAGAGAGGCTTCATTTTCCTATCAGACTTAGACTGTTGTGTGGAAGTTGCTTGCTGGGAAGCTCTGCTTTAGCTCTTTTAGGATCTCTGTTCTCACTTAGTTTCCTGGATATTTTTCTGCCCTTTGAGGGCAGAAACACAAAGCAACTTGTAGCATGAATAGAAGCATCCGCAGGATGCCTTGCTGTATCCTAGGCATACCTTCTCTGGGTTTTCTCAGGACAAGGAGATAAGCAGAACATTATCTCCAACCCTCTGTTCACGTGATGAGCCCACTGATATCCCCTACCTTCCAGAGTAGCTATTCTTGCCCAAAGCCTCATGGTTCTAGTGGAAATGTACCCCCAAGTCCTGATTGCTTCATTGCTGGAAATGGGCCCTTTGGGCACAGCTACACAGGATGTAGCATCATGGAGGGGGGGGGCACCCAGCTCTCATTCTTATCAGGAGGAGGATGTCATATCTTGTCTGTGCAGTAACCTAAAACCTAGATATCTGGCTTCACCTCTCTGCTTGGCTGTCTCCTTCCCAGGAGGTTCCCGTACCTGTCTGTTCTTTGTACATTCCTATATACCTTCTATGGGTTTATGACACAGAAGCCTGAGCCATGGATCCCTGGTTGCCAAACATGTAGGGAGGGCCTCCTCCCTGTGTCTCCATATGACCTGCAGACCCCTGGGCTTCCTCAGGCTCCAGGCTGTGCACTACCCCCAAAGGTCAACAGAGAAATCTGGGGCTGAGGAGAGGGGAAACATGTATACTTCCTTGTTAAAGGAAGGTACACCTCCAAATTTTCTATCACTCTGCCACCACTACTAATATATGACCTCTAGGCTCTGCTTTCTTGAAAACAGATTTATCTCTCTCTCTCTTTTTTTTTTAATTTCTGTGCTGGGGATCAAACTCAGGGCCTTGCACATACTGAGCATAAGCTCTAACTCTCAAGCACTCCTGAATGCAAGCCTTCCTCCTGGGCCTTGGAAGGCTTCCAGCATCTCTCCATCACTGCTGAAGAAGCCCTTTAAAGAAGATCCATTTGGTTTTCCTTCCTCATTTCCAGGTAGACAGGTAGCCAGTCTTGGAGCTTCTGAACCATGTGTGGACTTGGCCAGACTTCCCCTCTCCCAATTTCTGCTCCCTCATCTCTTTTCTTCTCCCTCATCTCTTTTCTTCTCCTGTGGGAAGGGACTCATCCCCATTTCCTTGACCCTCCTGTTTTTCTCTTCTCCACAGCCTGTGATTGCCATCCCGTGGGTGCTGCTGGTAAGACTTGCAACCAAACCACTGGCCAGTGTCCCTGCAAGGACGGCGTGACCGGCATCACCTGCAACCGCTGTGCCAAGGGCTACCAGCAGAGCCGTTCTCCCATCGCCCCCTGCATCAGTATGTGCCTTCCTCTTGCTCAGTTCTGCTTGGATGGGAGGAGCTTGTGGGCTGGCTGGCACCTCTGCACTCAACACTTGGTGTTCAGTGAGGCCCTGGGGAGACCCCAAGGCTGGTTCCTATAGAAATAGTTGAGTACTTGGCAGAGCCAGCCTATCTATGGCCCATAGTACTGGCAGATAAGAGTCTCTGGCTTCTGGATGGGAAGAAAACCCCTTTCCTCAGCATGGGCCCTTCTCAAAAATCTACGTTGATCCTAGAATTGGGGTGGGTTGATGTGGCAACCCAGCGTTTCCCCAGGACCCTTCAGAGAAACTTGCCAGGGCTCTGTACGTGGCGCCTATGGTCCTATGAAGGATAATAGTAGTCTTGGGAAATGTCCCAGGTTGGTGGTAGACCAGTTATTCATTCCCGAGTTGCTAGAACATGGAAAGAGGGTAAGCAGGATGGCAGGGGGTCACTTAGAGGCTGATATTTGGCATATAATAAAGTCAGGTTGGTGTTGAGAGCAGAGAATTAGCCCTAGCTAGGGAGCCAGGCCTAAATGGGAGCTGGCTCAGCCTTGTCCATCCTCAGTCTTGTTGATTCCTTGAGTAGGGCTGACAAAGCCAAGAAAAGGAGGGCAGGAGATGGAGCAAATCCCAGCAAACAGGGCAGAATCCAAGGAACTAAGTTGGCAAACTGGCCCATGGGACTGGCTATTGCCTTCTTTTATGTAGCTCAGTGGTTTGTACCTTTTTTTAATGGTTGGAACAAAAATCAAAGAGAGAATAATATTTTATGATGCATAAAAAGTCATTTGAGCTGGGTGCCAGTGGCTCACGCCTGTAATCCTAGCTACTTAGAAGGCTGAGATCTGAGGATCATGGTTCAAAGCCAGCCTGGGCAGGAAAGTCCGTGAGACTCTTATCTCCAATAAACGATTAGAAAACCAGAACAGATGCTATGGCTCAAGTGGTAGAGTGCTTGCCTTGAGCTGAAGAGCGCAGGGATAGCACCCAAGCCTAGAGTTTAAGCCCCACGACCGACCAAAACATCAACAACAAAGTCATGTGAGGCTGGGTACCAGTGGCTCACGCCTGTTATCCTAGATACTCACAAGGCTGAGATCCGGGGACTGTGGATCAAAGCCAGCTCAGGCAGGAAAGTCTGGGAGACTTACCACCAGTTTACCACCAAAAAGCCAGAAGTGGAGCTGTGGCTCAAGTAGTAGAGTGCTAACCTTGAGCAGCAGAAAAAGCTAAAGCCCAGGCCCTGATTTCAAACCCCAGGGCCCACTTCCCCCTCGAAAAAAGTCACATGAAATTCAAAGCTCAGTGTCCGTAGTAAAGTTTTTAGTGGAATACAGCCACACCTCCTCATTGACTGATTCTCAGTCTGTGGCCGATTCTGTGCCCTGAGCAGAACTGAAGAGCTGCAGCAGAGTTTGTGAGCCCCACAGAGCCTGAAAGATTTACTTCCTGCCCTTTTGGGGAGAAATCAGCCCACCCTTTAGCCATTCTCTGTGTCCTGTAACTCTGGGTTCAGCACCTATGGTTAGTTGTTAGAGATTTGGAACAACCTGAGAATCTTGTTGCCAGCACTAGGGGACCACTGGCATGGTGGCCACAGACCCCTCACACCATCCACCGGCCCAGAGTCCTTGAATATTTCCCACTGACCTTGTTGTCATTCCTCCCCTCCCCCAGCAGATAGGGGGCTTTAGGCAGTCCACACCTCCCAGTAGGTGTGGCTGTCAATTTTGGAACAAATTGGCTGCATCCCTTCCAGCTGCAATTCGAATCAGTTTCTAAGTTGTTAGACTCCATCCTGGTCCCAGTCAGCTATCTGCATGGGTCCATTACTGGTTAATAATAGAGTCTGAGCCTGAGGAGCTGGACTTCAGTGCCCATCCAGGATAGAGCAGGTGGAAAGGTGGTGGTCAGGACTAGGCTGTGGCTCAGTGGTAGAGTGTGTGCCTAGCATTCTGCACCTTTGGTTCATCTCTAGCATATCTGAAGGAAGGGAGGGAACAAACACTGGATTGTCAGTCTTACAACCTGCAAAAAATCATTCTCTCTATCCACTACAAAGCTATCAAATGAATGTTTTTAAAAAGCCAGGAGGAAATCTGGAAAACAAGGTGTCATACACACTCGGCGTGTGCTCGACTGCTGAGCTGCACCCCTTCTCCCCCCCGGCCCTAGCCTTAGATGTCTCTTAAATGGAGACTGTCAAATAGAGGTTGAAAGATCATCAGGGGGTAACATTGCTGATTCAGAGACTGAACCCTGGGAGAGCGGACCTCTTCCCTTGTCTTGTATGCTGATTTCCACCCAACAGTCTGAAGACCCGAGGTTTCATCCTGGGATGTTCCTAGCACTTGGCCACAGGTACCATAGTGCCAAGGTGTTAAGCCCTGTTTCACCAGCCACAGTTGCTCTGTGTGTGTCCCAGCGTCAGGCCTGTTTAAATGCTGAGGACGGGTGGCTAATGTGACTGTGGCCATTGTCCCAGGCCCACATTCGTAGATTTGAAGGATTAGACCAGCCCATTCAGATGCTGCCTCCAGAAAGTTTCTGACATGATTTGAAAACTAAGGAAGGACCTGGTACAACATCTACCTTTCTAATGAGCTTCTGTGGGAGGGTACCTGTGGGTTGCTGTTGCTAATGAAAGCGCCTGAGGGCAAAATTGGGTACTGTATCCTCTACCCCTTGTCTCCAAAGGTACGAACTTCCTCCTCCATGGGATTCATTGCTCTGCCCCCAGCCTGCCCCAATCTTCCAGGCCTCATTCAGGTCCTAGCCAAGCTAGATTTGGAGGTCTACAGTTAGTGGGAGTCAAGGTTACTTGCCAGGGAAGTCAGAGGAAGTGAATCTCTTCTCTGGAGAGACTGTGTGTGTGTGTGTGTGTGTGTGATTGCATGCATGCCAGTACTAGGGCTTGAACTCTGGGCCTCAAACTCTTGGTTGGCTTTTTCAGTCATGACTGGTGTTCTGCCACTTGAGTCATACCTCCAGTATAGCTTTTTGAATGGCTAGAGATAGCCCTGTGAATTTTTCTGCCCAGGCTAGCTTCAAACTGCTCTCCTCAGATCTCAGCCTCCTGAGTAGCTAAGATTAGAGATGCGAGCCACTGGTACCAGGCTTGTAGGGACTTTTCACTCCATGGTTTGACCTTATATAGAAAGAGGAAGTCTGAACTTGGATGGCCTCTGATAGCACAGTCAGGTCTAGGAAGTAGCAGGAATGATTCACTATTCTAGGCAGGAAAAAAAAAATAAAAGAAAGCATGTGCTTTTATAGGCCTTGTTACTTTACAGTCTCATGCTAGTCTACCTGCTGAGAAAAAGCCTTAGCTTGGGGCTGGGAAGGTGGCTCAGTGGTAGAGCGCTTGCCTTGCATGCCTAAGGCCCTGGGTTTGATTCCTTAGTACCACATAAGCAGAAAAAGCCGGAAGTGGCGCTGTGGCTCAAGTGGTAGAGTGCTAGCCTTGAGCTGAAGAGCTGAGGGACAGCGCCCAGGCCCAGAGTTCAGGCCCCACGACTGACAAAAAAAAGCCTTAGCTTGTGAGATGGGAGTCCCTGGAACCATGGTCAGGACCACACACTCATCTCTGCCTTACAGGCAGGTTCCCAGCACCTGGCAAGCCATTCCTGCTGCAAGAGCCTCTCCCACCCCCATGTGTTGAGGTTACAGGTGGGCAGAGCCCAGGTAGCCACATCAGGACGAGCAGAGAGCCTGGGCAGTCCCCTCTCCCCTGTCCCTGGATGAGCCGAGTGCTGAGTTGATTACATGAAGATAGTAGGCCTGAGAGGGAGCCACATGACAGGCCCTGGGCTCAGGTCAGCCCTCTGTTCTGCCAGCTCTCCCTGTTTCTCCCTATTCCCCTCCATCCATACTAGGGATCTGTGATATCCCTGGCCAATAGATGAAGGGACCAGAGAGCGAGGAGAATAAGATGCTGCTGGCTTTCTTTTCCTCTCTCACTTTTCCCCAACGGAGGGGGAAGCCTCTCAGGAATGGGTGGGAGGAGTCTCTGCTGAGCTCATTGTTTTTCCAAACTCAAAAATAATGTCTTCTTTGTTTTCTTCTCCCTCTTCCCTCTCCTGAACCTCAGAGATCCCTGTAGCTCCACCAACTACTGCAGCCAGCAGCATGGAGGAACCCGAAGGTAAGCTGCTGTCTTCTTGTCTTCTCAGTTAACACTTTGGCTCTGTGGTGGTGGGGGCTGGGGGGAGGGCAGGGAGGGAGAAGAGGGATGAGGGAGTGCAGACTCTTTCTTGACCTCTATCTGGGCTCTACTGGTTGTGGCTAGCAGCTTCACTCCCTAAGCTGTACTGAAGGGTATGGAACCAACAGAGTACTTTCTTGGACTCCCCTTCTAAAGATAAAATAATAGACAGTTAGTGCCAAAGACCAAGCCTTTAAAGGCCAGGACTCTTAAGAAGGGACCTATGGAGGTTGAGAAGCTACAGAACGGTCTACCTGCATCTCTCCTTCCTGGACTTGCTGAGGAGGAAGAGGATGGGTGCTGGGGCTAAGGGAGGAGTAACGAGGCACAGGGCTCACTGTTCCCATGAGATGAGGTGGGGAGACAATCCTGTCTTCATGCTCTTTCACCCTAACTGATGAATTCATGTTCCCTCCATGACAGAGGTGGGCTGTCCATATTAGCCATCAGCACCGCCTGTGACATGGTCACCAGTAGTAACCACAGCTGTGTTCACATTGCATTATTGTTGTGGGGGGTGTCAATGGGCTTGAACTCAGGGTATGTGTCTTTTGCTCAAGACTAGTGCTCTACCACTTTGAACCACAGCACCACTTCTAGTATTCTGATGATTAATTGGAGTTAAGAATCTCATAGACTTACCTGCCTGAGTTCACTTCGAACTGTGATCCTCAGATCTCAGCTCCTGAGTAGTGTTTTTTTTTTTTAATTTCTTGAAAGGTGTTCATGGTATTTGGTCATGCAGTGATAAACCCACTGTAAGTTGGAAATGTAAGTTGAGCACATGAAGCCAACTTAGCCTGCTGACCGTCCTTGCTTGCAACCTAGCTCACTGTATAAGTGTGTTTCCCCTGGAGAGGGTGGGGTTGTGGCCTGACAGAACTGTGCTTGCCGCGGCTCCCATCATCCCAAGAGGGGATCGCCCAGGGAAAGATCGGAATTCATAAAGTGTGGTTTCCTCTTAATGTATGAATTTCTCTCATGGTGTAGTAGAAAGTGAAGGGGAACCACTCTCTGTATTTTATTTTTAATAAGATACACAGTTTGTATTTTATGATAGCATTGAAAAATGCTCTGAGGAGAGATCCGCAGGCTTCCTGGTTCAAGGCACTGAGGTACACAGAGGACACAGAGCCCTACAAAATGGTGTCTTCTTCTGAGAGCAGTTTAGGCCTGCACCCGGTAACCTGGGGTCACTGAGACGTCTGTATATGAGTACTTGGAGTAAGAGCAGGATTAAGGAGCAGACTGACAGTGTGGCCCCAGGATAGCCACTCACGCTGCCTCAGAAAACTGTCCCCTCTCTAGATAGGACTGAAGGAGGTGTGAGGGCATTGTACACCAGACCCAATGTGGCCTCCTGAGTATTTTAGAATGAAGACTGGCTTTGGGGGAAAATTGTCAGTGCCCTGCAAGCTGGAGAGAAAATGGATTCAGACTTTAGGCTTGTGTAGCAAGTAACTAAGAACAGACTACTTCAGGGTATACCAAAGGGCACTATGGGGTCAGCTATAGCTAATCAGGTGTTTAGTTGTTTGCTGAGACTTGGGGTATCATTGGGTGTGCCACTCGCAGGAGAAATGGCTCAAGAAGGGGTGCAGACCCGGTTTCTGGGAAAGGGAGTTCACTCTGGCCCAACCCTGTTGACAGCAGTGTCCCAAAGGCATTTAGCTCTAAGACAGCAGTTGATTCTTTTTTTTTTTTTTTTTGTCTGTCATGGGGCTTGAACTCTGGGCCTGGGCGCTGTCCCTGAGCTCTTCAGCTCGAGGCTAATGCTTGACCACTTGAGCCACAGTGCCACTTCTGGTTTTCTGGTGGTTAATTGGAGATAAGAGTCTCATGGACTTTCCTGCCCGGGCTGACTTTGAACAACGATCCTTAGATCTCAGCCTCCTGTGTAGCTAGGATTACAGGTGTGAGCTACCAGCGCCAGGCAGCAGTTGACTTTTTAAAATTAAAAAGTTGTTCTCATTAGCTAGCCACTCATGAAGCTGAGGCAGGAGGATTACTTGAAGTTCAACGTCGGCCTGTGTAATATAATATATAATATAATAATTCTGATATAGGGAGACTCTCTATCAAAAAAGCAAAAATTAAAAAAAAATTCTATTGCTCACTGAGGACAGAAGTGGACTGTTTCTTTCATTCTTTTTAACATGGTTTTTTTGTTTTCTTTAATAGAAACATCAAGGAGGGACTCTGGATGCAGCTCAGTGGTAGACACATGCTTAGTATGTGTGTGGCCCTGGGTTAACTCTCCGGTGCCAAGCAATCACAGAATTTAGGGGAGAGTAGTTGTGAATCTTGACAATACCACAGTGAGTTGGTGATCATTTGGTCAGTCGTGAGAGACAGTGATGTATATAATGGAACTCACCTGTATGGACTCTTGTGAGGACTTGTGCTGGGACTGAGTATACAACTCTCCCAAGGACGATCCAGATCTTGATCTCTCAGTCTCTGGTCCTTCCTATTTTTCTAAACTTTGCATCTTGACTTTGAGTTTCTTGTAACAGTTTTTTGGCCTTTTTCCCTTCCATATAAGACATGGGAAAATGAGAAGGGGGAGGGTAAATAACACATACACACACATACACACAAAACCCCAAACGAAACAAAATAAAATGAACCCAAACCTCTTGAGAAGATATTTACACAAGCTATAAGAAGCTGGTATATGGTGGGGAGAGGGGAGGAGGATTGGGTCGGAGGGGGGGAGAGTGGGGGAGGATGGGAAGGGATGGGAAGGGGAAACAAAGGAGGAAGCTACAATGCTTGATAAGAAATGTACTCATTATCTTGCCCATGTATTGTAATCCCTCTGTACAGTATGTTCACAATTTTAAAAAAAGCTGGTATAAAGCACTGGAGGTTTACACTTTACCAGGCCAAAGATCACCTTTACAAAAAAAAAAAAATCGGTGATGCTAGGGATTGATTCCAGGGCCATATGTATGAGTTCTCCCACTGAGCCACACCCCCGGGCTGAGGACTTCCCCAACAATTCTAAACACCTGTAGCATCCTCTTTGGAAATGTATTCCTTGTAGTTTAGCAGTCTTTGGTGGTTAATTAACTATTCTAACTCATTTGGGGACTGTTTATTTCCTTTCTTTATTCCAAACCTTGGCGAATATGATTTAAACTGGAACAAGCAGTAGATAAACATTCTTAGCAATTACTTTCCTCACAGACAGGCTGAACGAGCTGGTTTGGAGCTTGGAGAGACTTGAAGCTTTGGCCAGACTCTTGCTGACCTGCCCCCGTGGCCTCTGGAAAGCACCAGCCACCCCTTGGCTCTGAGCTGGGCCGTGGGGCTTCCCACCACAGACAGGCCTGCCAGCCTTTCTCAGGGGCTGAGATGCTTTGGGCTAGAGGCCAGGAGGCCTCCCCTACCTCCCTGGAAAGCGTGGGGCCTGGGTTCTGGATACCTCCAAACCTGTTAGCTCTCTGCAGTGTTTAAGTGGCAGAAGCCCCTGAATGAGGCTGCCTGAGAAAGCTTATTTACTTTTGGGTCATGGAAGAGAGAAAGAATTAATAAGCCAAGAATGTGTTCTGAAAGCTGATGGGTACAACCTCATTTTGAACTCGTCTTCTTGAAGGGCCAGCTCACTCAGAGAGTGTTCTTTACCTGCTCCCTGAACTAGATGGTGAGCTTTTAGGGGCAAGATGGCCAGGAGCACAGTGCCATGGGAAGTCTGTGGCAAAGAAAGCCAGGAAGGGCAAAAAAGAGACACTTCCCCCATACACACTCAAAAAGGATGTGGTACCCAAGGCGCCCTTACAGGTCTCACTGATTACAGAGCCCTCTGCACCCATGGCCGTGAAAGGGACACCTGCTTTCCCCTGTACCTCTGTCAACTTCAGAACAATTCTTAAAAAAAAAAAAAGTTAATGGTATTGGGGCTGGAATTCCAGTGCCTCTTGCTATCACTAGGCTTTTTCACTCAGGGCTGGTGCTCTACCACTTGAGCCACAGCTCCATTTCTGTCTTTTTGATGGTTAATTGGAGGTAAGAGTCTCATGGGCTTTTCTGCTGGGGTGGGCTCAGAAACAGGTTCCTAAGGTTTCATCCTCCTTAGTACCTAGGGTTACAAGGGTGAGCCAGCCTCCTGGAGCAATTCTAAACTTGCAGATGGCTTGCTTTTGTGGAGGTCACTTGGTTCAGTGGGAGGAGCTTGGGCTTGGGGCCCAGAGACTGGGGTTGATCTTGTACTGGTGAGGAGTAGGTCGGTATGACAGCCGAATGAAGGGATGGGACCCAGGGCTCCCCACCCTGGATCTCTGAGGTAAGAGCTATATTTTACTAGGGTTTCTTCCTGCTTAGTTGCTTGCTTACCATAACCACTTTTGCCTCTGACAGAATATATTACCTAGAGTTCCTCCCGAGGATACCCCATGGGCTGATTCATAGCCAGGACACCTTCTTTGGTGTCAACATTCTACCCATGGCTGGCTACTCTATGATCTATGAGGGGTCACGGAGGGTTGAGTTGGGAAGAGATGAGCAGGTTGGCATTCAGAGCACAGTAGATAAAGAACTAGGGAGAACCCCTGGCTGGTTAGATGTCATGGCTTTTTTGTTGGCCTCTCCCACTTGAAGAACACAGATGCCTTGGAGCAAAAGTTGCACCAGCTGCCTCCTGGGCTCCCAAGAGGGGTCCTGGGCCCTTTCCCCCAGCCCTGTCACCTTGTGCTCTGCCTATTTGACTCCCAGCGGCCCCAGCCTGAGGGGTGGTTTCCACAGGTATCAAGAGCCCTTTGGAAGAGCCTAGAGAGAGGACTGGGAGGCCAGGCACCAGACCGCAAGGAGGAGCTCACCCAGTGCTAAGAGATGTGTTTTGGGGAAGGGAGAGACCTTAGTATTGTCTTTCTTTTGGCTTCTTAACACATCCAAAAGAAAGTGGGACCATAGAGACTTGCACCTGGGGAAGCGAGATT